GGATGGATGAAGAAAAGATGAGTGAGTGGTTGAGAGAAATTTATGTGAAGAGACCGGGTGGTTTTTTTCACACAGCTCCGTCCCTATTGATCTATGACTCCATGCGCGCACATATCACCGAGCATGTCAAAAAACAAGTGAAGCACACTAATTCAGTGCTCGCCGTCATTCCGGGTGGATTAACAAAAGAACTCCAGCCGCTCGATGTTGGCGTCAACAGAGCATTCAAAGCTCGACTGCGAACTGCGTGGGAGCAGTGGATGACCGAAGGCGAACACACGTTCACCAAGACGGGGAGACAGCGCCGGACGACATATGCTAATATCTGCAAGTGGATAGTAAATGCCTGGGCTGGTATATCAGTCACAACTGTGGTCCGAGCTTTTAGGAAGGCAGGAATTGTCACCGAACTGCCAGACAACAGCAGCGACACTGACTCGGTTAATGATGACTTTGATAAGACGGAGCCAGGCGTTTTGGATGCCGCAATAGCCCAGCTGTTCAATTCGGACACGGAAGAAGAAGTTTTCGAGGGATTTTAGATAAGGAACTGAGAAAGTGAGCTTTACGTTTACAGAGTTATTATTGTTCTTGTTGCTTGTTGCTTTGTTGTTTTGTTTTCTTGTTAATAAAGTTTGACTGACCTATCTGACTGCTAATCATTAGATGCATAACGCATCCATCAGTCAGGCACACACGAGGCACACCACAGGACCAAAATATTTTAAGTATATTTATTGAAATCACAAATTGGCGCTAATCGTTGATAAGCACAAGATTTATTTGCACTTAATTAATTAAAAACGAGTAAAACGCAGGAAAAGTGAAATGCGCTCCACTTCTGCTAAGACGCTGTCACCTGTTTGGTTCAGCGCTGTTGTGTCTGTGTGAACACAGATCCTTTCTGCAGTGAGGATGTCACACACTCTCTCTCTCTCTGTGCGTGACTAGCGTTCTATTGTCAGGAAATATCACAGAGTGTGGCATCGTTTCATACAGCGATGATCTTTGTAAGAGTCAAAATCTCTGCGGAAACAGCCCAAGCAGCTAAAGCTCTAAGTTACAGTGTGATCGTTATTTTAACACTGTGATTTCCAGCGGAATTATTTCTTACATATCGTGTTAAGGAATATAAGTTAAGATTTATCTGAGAGCCAGATGCAGTCGTCAAAAGAGCCACATGTGACTCGCGAGCCATAAGTCCCCGACCCCTGATCTAATGGATGCGTTATGCATCTAATGGATGCATAACGCACCGTAACTCCAGCCTCTACTTTAGCGCCTTATGCCAAGCGTTTTATTAAAGGTGCGCCTTATGATGCGATGCGCCTATATATGTAAAATAATTAAAATACGTCATTATTGAAGGTGCGCCCTTTGGTGCGGGCGTCTTTC